ATAATGTAAAATTTCCTATTTTTACATGTATCTTTCTGTCAAATTGTTGATTTTAGGATATAATTAGGTTTTTCGAAAATTATATTGTACCTGGAGGTCCAATAAGAATGGATTTTGGACAATATCTGGGAAATCGTTTGAAGTACAGCTTCTGGAAAAAGTTCAATGCCTAAAGTGTGGTTACAAGAAAAATATAAATAATATCCAGAGAACCGTAGGTCGACCGCCAGATGGTGTAATTGAGTACTAAATAATAAAAAGCGTAATTTTGTATAAATTATGCATTTTACTGTTTGGTATTTAGTTACGCAATCTAGCGGTCGTCTTACGATTCTCTAAATAATTTCCGTGTTTTTCTTGTGATCACTTCAGTCATTAAATATTTTTCCAAAAGCTGTCCTATTAACGGTTCTTCAGATATGGGCGCAATCTGTTCTTATTAGGCCACCCCGTACAACATAATTTTTGAACAACCTAATTGTCATAAATTCAACCGTTTGTCAAAAATACACGTGTTTAAATAGAAAATTAGACATAATATCCAATATTAAAGAAATTGCCTATAGACTTTACTTTCATATATCCAAAACACTACAGTTTAGTACTCTTACGAGGGGAAACACCCAACTCTTGGTGTTGCTAATTCCACTCTGAAAAGGTGGTTGTCACCTCTAAGGAGCCAGGTGTCTGAGTGTTTTATTATGAAAAACCGTCTATAAGCAATTTCTTTAATATTGAATATAATGTAAAATTGCCTATTTTTACACAGGTGTCTGTCAAATTGTTGATTTTAGGATATTATTAGGTTGTTCGAAAATTATATTCTACCTGGTGGTCCAATAAGAATGGATTTAGGACATATCTGGGGAATCGTTTGAAGTACAGCTTCTGGAAAAAGTTCAATGACTAGAGTGTGGTTACAAGAAACATATAAATATTATTCAGAGAACCGTAGGTCGACCGCAAGATGGCGTAATTGAGTACTAAATAATAAAAAGCGTAATTTTGCATAAATGAGGCATTTTACTGTTTGGTATTTAGTTGCGCAATGTAGCGGTCGTCTTACGATTCTCTAAATAATTTCCGTGTTTTTCTTGTGATCACTTCAGTCATTAAATATTTTTTCATGGGCTATCCTATTAACGGTTCTTCAGATATGGGCGCAAGCTATTCTTATTAGGCCATCCCGTACAACATAATTTTTGAACAACCTAATTGTCATAAATTCAACAGTTTGTCAAAAAGTACACGTGTTTAAATAGAAAATTTTACATAATATTCAATATTAAAGAAATTGCCTATAGACTTTACTTTCATATATCCAAAACGCTTCAGTTTAGTACTCTTACGAGGGGAAACACCCAACTCTTGGTGTTGCTAATTCCACTCTGAAACGGTGGTTGTCACCTCTAAGGAGCCAGGTGTCTGAGTGTTTTGGTTATGAAAAACCATCTATATGCCATTTTTACAATATTGAATATTAAAATTTCCTATTTTTACACGTCTCTTTCTGTCAAACTGTTGGGACATAATTAGGTTGTTCAAAAATTATGTTGTACCTGGTGGCCCAATAATAAAAATGGAATCCGGTCATGTCTGGGGAACCGTTTATAGTACTGCTTCTTGAAAAAAGTTCACAAGAAAAATAAACTATTTAGAAAACTTAATACGAAATTATAAAAAGCGTAATTTATACAAAATTTTGTAAGTATATTATTCCAGCTAATAGATTAAAGGCTCACACAATTACAATCACGAATTTTACAAATCTTTCTCTAGTCTTTCATTTGAACAGAATTCATAAATATTTATATAGGCACTCATATTAATTCATATTCTAAGTGATGTCTTGTTAAAAATTAAATATTATACTTTCCTGTTAGACCGTCAGATAGGTGCACCATTTTCTCATATAAGCCTCGAAGAGGGTTAAAAAGTACATCGATGTTGAGTAGAATGAAAGGAAATATACGAGTGGCTCTTGGGGACAACAAATGGAAAATTCGATTTTCCTTAACAAAAAAATTTTTCAACCCCAAAATGCACTCATCCACTTGGTTCATTCAAGCCAATGTGTTTTTCGTACCAGTGATGATATACGTTTTCATACATTCGATGGGCTTGTGTGGAAAAATCGGTAAAATACTCGATTTTTTCTTACAAGATCACACACTTATTTCAACTGTTTAGCCACTTGTAACATTAAAGCCTTTGGTTTTCCGAAGCTAGTTCTATTAATCATTTAGTGGACACGGCTTGCGTGAAAATATGGTCAACACAATACCTTTAATTTTTGTTAAGGAAAATCGAATTTTTTATGTTATTCCTAGGAGCCACTCGTAAATTACCTTTTATTTTACTTAAAATAAATATACTTTTCAAACATCTTCGAGGCTTGTATGTGAAAATGAGGCACCTAAACCTGTCGCTATCTGACGGTCCATGTATATTTATGTAATTTTCAGAACTTTGTTAGCTGCCTCGTGTACTTTTTTTGTTCGCAGTTTTGGCCAAGTTAGAAGGCAACATCACAGATCTTCAAGTGACAAAATTGGGATAGCGGCTGATAAGAAAAAAAAAAATATGCTGAGAGGTACGATTTACGGGGTTTGTGAATCTTCCCGAACAACATAACCAAACACCATTTGATCATCTAAGAGAGCTTGTAAAGTGCACGCCAAGGAGATTCTTACCGGAACAGTCCATTTGCGAATTATTTGAAAAGTGTTAAGATCATGTCAAGACAATGGGGCGGTGGCGGTTCGTGGTAATTTACATTATATTTGCATCTTGTGCTTGTGTTAGATGAATCAAATGCTATCACATTGCAACACTAGCCCTTTTTGGAAATTATAATAAATCAGTAACAGCTTGAAAATGGAATGTACCCTCCATAAAAAAATGCATCAGCAAAACAGCAGAAGAAAAGTATCCCCTAAAACCATACGAAGCCATCGAATGATCATCTAGTGAAGGTATTGACAATGTCCTGCTAGAAAAGTGTAGAAAATTTAGAAAACTTTTGTCATTATATTGAATTGATGTATATAGGTCTTTGTAACCTAGAGAAATATACATTGCCTATATATTTTATATAATTTTAAATAATACCAATAAAATACCAAAATTCTGTAGAAATTCAATTACACAGCTTGTCGATACCCCTGGTAATATATCATTTCTAATGTAAGCTACGTACGTACATTAGCTACAAACTCTTTTGGTTAATTTTGTTCTTTCATTCACCCACATTTCAAATGTTTGCAATCGGTCACTGATGTTTAACATAAGCGTTCAAGCTTCCATTCATTTCGTAAAACACATCTGAAAAAACATTATCGCGAAGGTGAATTTAAAACGTAAAAGCACGTTTGATGTGTATTCTAATTAACAGCGAAGTACCTATACCATCCCTTTGAAAGAATAACAAAGCCTTCGTAAACACGAGCTAACGATCATGACAGGCTATGTCGTAGACACATTATAAAAGTAAAGGCCTTCACGGAACACTCGTTATAGTCTCTAATGAAGTAAACTCGGAATTTAACATTTTTGTTTTTTCGTAAGAGAGTTCACTATTTGAGTATCAAAATAATATATTATCGAGAAAATAGAAATTTTCAATAAAGGAAAGGAAAAACTCTTGTCTTAACCACAAAAATTATTTATTTTTATTGAAAACAGGTAAAGCGACTAGTTTCGGTCAGTGACCATCATCAAGCATAGTAAAAAGACGGAACAAAATCGGACTAATAAGGGGACATCTGGCTATGCCGACTATTGAGTTCTTGATGTAGGCTTCAATGTGGTTTTAGAAATCGAAATTCCCAATCCAAGACCAGCGGATATACATTCTGTCTACCGTACTAAGGTGGTACATGGAGGTGCTTCCTAATACAAAATACGAGATAAAAGTCGTCTTTTTACTATGCCTGATGATGGTCAATGACCGAAACTAGTCGCTTTCCCTGTTTTCAATAACAAAAAATAATTTTTGTGGTTAATACTTACCGATATACCACATTTGAGATATGGATAGCCTTCTTATTCTTAATTTTACAATAAATTATTATTTTAATAAACTCGAGTCCTACAAAGCCATAACTGTCAGTGGTTGTTACGGGTTCATTGCATACAAATAGTCAATTTATTAAATTATTGATTCGCAGCAAATGACGAGATTTTTAAAATAAACAAATTCACTTACGACTATCAAAACATGATGGATTTTCTCAGAAAGTTGCTTAAAACTGAAACAATACACCTTTATCCTTAAACCTTATTTAATAATGATAAAATCAAATAAAAACATTTTAAGTAAAGAATTGGTTATTACATAAATAGTTATATGGCCCATTACAGACTCAAAAAATGTTTTCGCTATTATTTAATAGTTTTAAAACTGTTCTGGAGATCGCTGCACATTTATAATGAATGCTGTTGCTGCAGTAGGTACATTTTATTCTATCAGGTGGATCCACTTTTTTAGAAAACAACATACAGTGTTGTTTATTTTTTAATTCAAATCAGCACGCCACTGGTAATAATTCGATTCTATTAATAAAACACCGGGTGAGCAAAAAATTATACAAGCCTCGTGTGTGTATATTGGTATTTGGTTTTACAAATAATAGGGCTTAGATATATTTTCAAATGTTGCCTTCATAGTATGTGACAATAGATGTTCCAATCACTAACCTTTTAAATTTTTGAGACAGAAATGCATAAAATACCATCAAAATGGACTCTTAACCCTCAGAGTACAAAACTAGTTAAGTTCACTATTAGATTACATTAGATGAATTGGGTAACCGATGATTGTAAAACAAAAAAAAAAACAAGTGATATTTTTTAAAATGATTGAAAATTAAAATTTTAATTTTTTTTATTTTGAGCTTAAAATTAGTTCACAATAACTTTCGGATAAGACTTTTCCGCTCTAAATAATACTGCTTTATTTTTACCAATTGTTTCTTATATTAAAATCAGTAAATTTTTGAGAAATTGTTTATTAACAAAATATTTTTCAATACAGAAAACCATTTATATTTAAACATTTTCTACGTATAAAAGTTTTAGATCAGTATTTGTAAACGCAATAACAGCTCTTAAGTAGTCTATTTCATCAACATTTACATCCCACCCATTTAACTGTCCAATGCTTTTTAGATTTTTACAATGACCCATTAAAAGTTCAACACTTGTTACTGTTAAAGATTTTGCACAAGAAAACCATAGTTCTTCCAAATTGTAAAAATCGCACTCAGCACAAATCCTAAAAATATCTCCGTCTGTCATCCTGATAATAGACCCAATGACTATTCTCCTCAGGAAAGGAGAATTTGTCATTATAGATCTAATAATATCATCCGACATATCGCAATATGTGATTTCCACGTTCACTAAGCTCATAAAATACGTATCTAAATTCGTAAAAGTAAGTTTCATCTGGTAACATTCTAAAGTCTGTAAATTGGGAGCGAAGAGGCAAATTTGAGACAGGTCTAGAGAAATGTTTTTATTGTGATTTAATTTCAGAACCTGCATTCGAGCTCCTGAGAGACTAAGAAATGTCAAGAACTCCTGCACGTCACACTTGGTTAATTTTAAAGTATAAAGCTTCTGTAATTTCGCAAGTTTTTCAAGAACTCCGTGCTCTGCTCCATCCAAATGTAGATTTTCTAGATCGGGACATAAATTTAAAACGCAACCTATAATTTCTTCTGTCGTACCAGTGTCGTGGATATATTTTAATTTTGTTCTACTTCTGGGATATTTTTGATAACATTTTAATAGAGCTCTTCCCGAGTAAGAATAGGTTCTTAGTGATATTAAATTAGGTAAATATTCTATTAATTCAGCAATTAAATCAGGTCCGTTATTCTCTTGATGACAAATGCTTAATTTTCCAAACATTCCTACATCCAGTACTTGTAAAGTTTGGCTTTTCAGCTTAGTGATTCCATCCACTGTAACAAAATTACCATGTTTAAAAATAATTCTCATAGTGTATTTTATGTTTTAACTCTAAAGTAAATTATTCTTATAACTATTTTAACCACCAAATGAAAGTTCCATTCTTCTAAAAATAATACAATTAACAACATTTTTGTAAAAAAAACAATGAATAACAGTTTTTTCCTATACGCTAGGATTTTTCTATTAACTAATTTTAATCTCAATCAGATTTATTATTTTCTTTTTAAATAAAGCATTAACGTTGCATTTTATAAGTCTGTCTAATTTTTATACACCAGATGTTTTAAAACTTAGTCATAGGGCAGGAGCACCATTTATGGACATCTTAAAATATCTCGGGAATTGAAAAAATCGTTCAAAATTAATAAAATTACCATAGCGGTATGAAAATTTACCAGAGCAAAGTATAATTGTTTTTTTTTATTTTTCATAACTTGTCATTAACTAATACCCACTTTCTTTTTAATTTTTCATCTGTATTTATTTCTGGTAAAAATTGTTTCTCATATTTTACACATACTTATTTCTATTGGACTCATGTGACCAATATTAAAATTTTATTTTGTTAAGTCTGTAGTTCGTCTTTTTTCAGATAATGTTTTACAGAATAAATTTCTTTGTTTTTTATTTTTTTTGTAATACGTTCCTATTTTTTCTATTATCGGATGACATTTCTTCAAACTTTGATTTTAGTGTAAATAAAGTTTTCCCTTTTACTTTAGTTATTTTGTCAATTCGTTCTTCACCATTTATGTTTTCTTTGTCGGAACTAGATGAAATATTACACTGGAAGATCACTTTCTGCCAATACCAGCCCCTCTTTTGGACATTTTTGTTTCTATAACTAAATTTTCTTCATTGAGAAATAAATACCTTCGCGGCATACTGGAAAACCCATTTTAGCTGTGTCTTTTATCCATCAACTGCTTCTACAACTTCCCTTATACTCTACTCATGCCGAATTGTTATACTGAGAAACCTCGGTAAATTTACAGCCAGCCTCCTAGGGCAGTCCTGCAGGTTAATAACGTCACCAGGTGGTGTCTAGATGCCCTATTTTTGAGAAGTGACCATTTGGTGGTCTTCTTCCACCCTGATGGTAAATAACCAGGTCATTTTATGCGCCAGATCCACATGGCCAGAATAAATATATTGTCTAAGTGGCAACTTTGGTATACACATGCTCCATTAGTGGCCAGAAAATTTATCATGTGGTTAAACTAGGATCATAAGTGTTCTATTAGTGGCCATCACTTAGCCACTGGCTGGCCAGAAATGGATCATAAGTGATCTAAAATTAGCCACACATGTTATAAATGCAATATTTGCTGTTCCGTTTCTGGCTACTTAATTTATCGCTTGTTCCAGATGAAAATAAATATTTCTGACTATACCCGGACAAAATATTGCAGAAGGTGATTCCTTCCTGTTCACGTACAACAATCATACTATACCAGAGCATAATGAATGGAATCACGCGCTTAAAACTGCAGAAGTTATCGGAATCACGTGCCAACTAGTCATAAATGCATGTTTATTGCCAAAATAAATTACGCCAGTGGCATATAAAAACTATTGGTAAATTAAATGCGGTAATAATAAATAATATTATATGAAAGTAGGTTGGTTATCTATTTTTGTAGTAATAATTATTTATGTTTATAATTTTGTTTTGTTTATTGTTGAAATATGTAAATATTATGCCAGTGGAGTAGACACACTATTGGAAAATTAAATGGGGTATTATACTAGAACAAAATATTGAAGAAGGTGCGCCTTAAAACTGCAGAAGGTATTGTTATCATATCAAAATGCACTTTAATTTAAACAACCGGTATATAAACGTGTTTTTTTTTTTAATAATATTGAAGATTTCTTGGCCGTGGAATGGAATTGAGTTTTAAATCTCTAGTTTTACTAAAAAATTCAACAGTAACATTAAAATTTGAGATAAATAATCTCAATGATGTAAATTGAATGAATATCAAGCATCTTTCTTGGTTTCTTGGTATATATTTAATTCTAATTTTGTATTTATCAACATTGTAACTATTTTTTTTAATACTAACCTGTAAAGCAGGCTTCTCCACTAATATCCAACACGACCAACTCTTCTAAAGTCAATATCGCCTCGATCACCGCATCGTCAGCCATGTGAGGTATTAGAAGTGTTTTCAGTCCCCTCAAACTTCTTACAAGTTGACTTAATAGATAGGGAAAATCCCTCGCCCAGACACCTTTTAGATTTAGATGTTGCAAGCCCGAGCCTCGCGAACTAATCACGTTAAGAATTTTTTGGTAATAGAATTGAGGAAACATTCCCGTATCCAATTTTCTGACGTCCTCTCTAAGTAAAAGTTGAAGGCAGTTGAAGCGAATGTTCGCATCCAGATTAACCGAATTGAGAATTATTTTTAGTAAATCTTGAAGAACTTCGAAAGTAGTGGGCGATATATAATTTGCGACAACCTCATAATTTGTGCCTTCGTCGTCTGACAGTGAGTAGATAAGCTTATTGGTGATGGTTTTAAGGCAAAACGTTTTCAGTGAAGTCACTTGGTTTTTCGGAGACATTATTTAATACTTAATCGTATGTGCAGTTTTGATCACTTTAAGTATAATTTTGTTTCAATTATTTTTGTATTATTAAGAATTATATAAGAACTATGTTTAATTGAAATAAATCATTTTGTAGATATAGAAAGTGTTTAGATATTTAGACTCTGCTAATATGTAAAAAAAATATTTAACAAAAATACCAACAACTGAAGGAGTATTTAAATTTTAAAAATGTATAATAAAATTATTGACAAGGGGGGTAGCCATGTGTGAGTTGAGGTAATTTTAAGGTGAAGGGTGAGAAAAAGTCCTTTATATCTCACTCTCCATCCACTAGTGGATGTAGAGTATGGCGAGCCTGAAGATGAAGTGATGACACTTCGAAACCGGTCGCACTCAATGTTTTGTTAAACAATTAAACATTGACTTTCCTTGTGAGATATAAAGGACTTTTTCTCACGCTTCACCTTAAAAAAAATAATAAAATTAGGCTTACATCACTAAAATTTACATATAGGTTAGGAAAGAAATATACGAGCCATATAGTGTAGTTACACTTATATCTATAAATTGTAGCGTGTAGTATGATTTTATTTTTAAGTCTGAAGGAATAAACGGTTATTTAGTGCGTTACTTTAATTTTATTCTATTTTTTATATTTAATTGTATTTTTAAGAAATACAAAAAGTTTGTTGAATCTATGTCAGGACAAAACAACAATATCAAAAATAAAATAATAAATAACTTATTTTTCTATCCATTTTCACTCTTACTCGAATTGCACCTAGAATAATTTGATTCACACCTGTTTCTGCTTTTTATATAGAAATATATATTAAAATAATCACAAAAGGTTGACGGCTGTGTGCACGTAGTTTAGATTAAAAATCTGATGTTTCCAACACATGACTTTCCTATCTAGTTAATATAGGCTTTTTCTGGTTATTTTGTACAACCTATTGCAGCACCTCTATAAATGTTTAGAGGAAAAAACTAAATATATACATTTTCCACATACATCTAACTCGAAACATTCTGTAGATATTCATTGAAAACGAAAATACTGCAAATTTTAAATTTAGCACCCTTTCTCCAATTTTTCCATTATCGTCCATTTTAGAAAATCATGTAGAAAACAAAAATTATAGAGATCGATATCGCAAACAACTTTTAGTTTAACAATTTTCTTAAACAGAATTTTGCACATTTTGTCAAATTTCTCGAATACGGACCATTTCAGGAAAATTTGGCTTAAAACAAAAATTATAGTTAATAATATTAGAAGTAACTTTTATTTAAACAATTTTCTTCTCCAAACATAAATAACAGATATATTCCATAAAATATAAAAACGACCCCTCATAAAGTACCCCCCCAGATGTTCTGACTTTGTCCAAAATCTAATCATTTCACCTCAGGCTGAAAGAAAACTTAAGTTTAAAATTTAATGTTTTTTCCTGTATCCGTTTTTGAGTTTTCTTCAAAATTCGAAATTTACATATTTTCTCAAATATCTCGAATATGGTCCATTTTAGAGAAATTATGTATAAATTAACAATTATAGAGAATTATATTAGAAACAACTGTTATTTAAACATTTTTTATAAAAAATAATGTTTTTTTATTTTGTCAAATTTCTCGAATACGGACCTACTGTCCACAAACAAGCATAATACACCAAGTTCTTTGTCATCCTTACTCCAAAATATAAATATTTCTGGAGCTTCACAATTTGCTAAATCATTATTATTTACTATTAATAATATTTTAAAATTTAAATTGATTTAAACATTCATTTTTATTATTTGACCAATTGGGCATTCCAAACTGAATGGCTACCAGTGAGTTTTGACAGGTTATGATATGGCAAAATTATGGCAACCCTGTAGGCCTGGTGATTTGACAAGGTCAATGAAATAGATAGTTACATAGATTGATCATCCATATTTTTCAAAATAAACTTAAGCTTATGCCTTGACGTAAAAGTGTAAGCAATTATTTTTTTTAAATATCTAAAGGCTGAAAATTGGTTTTAAAACACATTTTTGCTAAACTGATTCAAATTAATAAATATTTGCCAGGCAATATGGCCAGCTTTGAGCAATCTATACAACTATATATGTATCATTGACCCTGTTAACGACAACATGACAACAGGGTTGCCATATCTAAACTGTCAGTACCCACTGGTAGCCATTTGGACAGGTCGTTGGAATGCCTGTTTCCATGTGACAGTGGTGACAAGCGACACTTAAAGACGTTGACAGGTCAAATGTCAAGAGAGGAGGGGCGTTCACCTCAGTGTGGAACAAGTTTCTCCAAGTGTGAATCAAGTGGTTGGAGGTGGTTAAAAAAAATGAAAATTTGTTAGTATTGAATTTAAAGACAATTTTTTGAAATTTGATTTATTTGTTAATTAAATTTTAATTTAAATAAATGTTTAATATGAATTGATCTTTTAATGTCAAGGCAAAACAAAAATATCACTCACGTGATTCTGCTGTGCCAGCTCGGGCTCTGCAGAACTTTTTTCAGAGAACCCAAGATGGCAGAACTGAACCCGTGGTCCCTAGATGTGAATCTGATGTTTAGTTTAAAAAATTTCAAGTCACTCAGCAAGCGTACTTATGGCTGGAGTGAGACAAAAAAGAGAACAAAAATCATACAAGTACGATGGTTCCAAAAGTAGGCTCTGTTGGGTGAAATCGAGTTTAGGAGGGGATGGCTCTCAAAGGCTTATATTGAGCGACTCGGACACACATCATCCCATTAGGAGGTTACTTTGTAATCAGGGAAATAGGAAAATAAAATGTCCTAGAAAATGTAAAATACCAATGAAAAAAAAAAACATAATCGTAAAGGGTTAACTGTGTTGTCTATGGAGTAGTATGAAATTCCTGTTAAGGTTTAGTTGAGTCTTGAGACAGAGGATATTGTCTCTTTCAAGGGTAATTTCAACATCTTCATGGAAATCTAATAAGTTGAAATTTTTTGTGTTCAAGTATTCAAGTTGACTAATAATTTAGAGTTTTTGGTTGGGTTAAAATTATGTGTCCGGTCTCTTAAGGTGCTCGCCTATCCGGACTCCCAAAGATCTGCAAGTTCTGCCAATCTAACTGGCATCGCAATCGCTGCATTGCAACCTGTACACTCCACTCTTGTCTATCAAGTTTGTTTTGTCTTTGGTGTTGACTAAATGAGAGTCTAATTTATTAATTGATTTGAAAGAGACTTTAATGTTATCTAGGTTGTTAGCAAACATTTTTGAGTTGTTCTTATTTTCCCAAAAGGGGAAGGATATGTAAAAATTATTAATATGACTCAAATTAGGGTAGGCTAATTTTTGAATTTTCTTGAATTTAATTTTGGTCATTAGAGATTGAATTATGTCCGGGTCATACCCGTTGTTAAATGCAATTTCTATAAATATATTTAATTCTTGAAGATAGTTAGTTTTATTTAGAGGGATTGATAGAAGTCTATGAATATAGCAATAGAAAGTAGACATTTTATGTTGGTGAGGGTGATTTGAAGAATAGTGTATCACATGGTCTGTTTAGGTGGGTTTTCTATATATGCTAAATTGAAATTTGTTATTCTGCCTGTGGATAGAAAGGTCCAAAAAGTTCAAACAACATTCTTTTTCAGCTTCCAGAGTGAATTTTATTTTGGGATAGACAGTGTTAATTGAATTTAAAACGTTAGAACACGGCTTCAACCAATAACAATCAAGTATCATTTTGCCTGGACAGTAAAATTATTATTTTATCAAGTTAATTTAAAACAAAACCTTTCTTTTCTTTTTAACCCGTATTTTACGTTTGGTTTTCTTAAGATATTTTATAACCAGTATAATATATTCTTAGTTATTCCTTTTTTTACATTCAGAAATTTGTCAATGTCAACATGGTACCCTACTAATTATGCAACCAACAATATATCAAGATATTGTGATGAATCGGCAAGCGTTATTTTACATTTTTAAATTATTCAATAAACTTCATGATATAAAACTGTGTTCTCTTTCTTTATTGGCTTAACTGAGATTTTAAAGTGAGACAGGTACTCTTTTCGTGGGCTGATAGTACTGTTGAGTGTTCCATGCTATACATAAAAAATTTATAAACAATTTTAATTAATTGATTTACCTGGTGTTATTTACCCACGTGATTTTTCTCAATATGTACAAGTTTATTACACAAGTATACTGGACCGTGTGTTTGGTAATATTTGCACAAGCACGTTAATTATACATGCGATAAGAGACTTGTGGAAATTCTATATTTTTAGTTGTGCATTTTGGACTTGTACAAGTGGAATTAAGCATGTGTATGTAAAAGACTTGCACAAGCTTGAAACAGTTGATACTTACTCATCTCTAGAGTGGTGCGATTTACGATCATGGTGCTATGACGAGCAGAGCTGGGGAGGATTGTAATTCCTGGATTCGAATCATTTTTGAGGATCCGAGAGCGGCATTCGAATACTTATGAAAAAAAGGATTCGTGAGCCGGATATGCCGAGGAAATCCTAACAGATTCGTATTCGAATCACCAATATTAGTCTCGGATCCTTTTAGAGACCAAACCGACTCAAGCTTTGACTTATCGCACAGTGTAAACTAAAACAGACTGAGACTGAAGACCGATTTATTTAGAATATAAACGTAATAATCCACAAATTATCAATGAATAACCAACGTTAAAAAAAATCGTAAAATTTAACCTTTCCTTCGTCTGGTCCAGTCCTACGATTATTTTCGTTTGCATGTATAATCGACACACCTCAAACACAGATAAAAACTTTGAAATTTTGGTGCTTTGTAAGGCCAACCAAAAGACATTTTTTGAAAAAATATATGTTTCTTTTTAATTTTGTTTCATTGTTTGTTTATTATTTTGTTTGTGTATTGAAATAAAATATATTTTTTGTAGATTATAATTAATTAATAGTTCATATTCATAGGGGAGTCAGAACTTTCGGATATATGGATCCCAGATTCAAATCTCTGATGACGAGTCACTTGAAAAAAGTGACATCGAGAATGTTTCGAAAAATTTTCTATATACGAAAATGAGCCATGTTTGTGGCATATTAAAAGAAAAGAGTACCAATATAAAAGAAAATCAAAATTGAGAGAAACACACAAAAACAGATCGTAATACAGCGTATTAAAAAATTAACGTCTTTCGAATGAATAACAGGTAGAAGAAGAAAAAAATCAACGTGGCCAACACGTTGTCGTCGTCCGACAATAACATAATTCAACTTTAAACTGGCGTAATAAGCAAGTATACTTGTGTATTGTCGACGCAGATATTCAAGCATACTTGTGCAATAAACTTGTACATTGTACATGTATACCACTCAAGTATATTGATACGTCTATTAAAATTTTATACTTATAATAATAAAAAAGTAATTTGTCCATCAAATAAATTAATCAACTAATTAACTCATCGTGTCAAAAATCTACACATACGGTTTCTATTTTGAACTAATCATGGCGCACTGAACCACATACACTGCACTACAGCTGTTTAGATCAACAATTAAAGTTTAACTGAATTATTTTTGGATTTTGAGGCCAAGTGCTAGGTTATTTTGGTGTAAATTTAGTTTTTACAGTTATATAAAGATAAACAAAAAAAAATTTGTATTATTCAATTTAATTTAATTCCTAACAGGTGGGGAACAAAATGATATGTACTTAAAAACTGTTGGTTTCATACAAATTAAAAAAAATCAGTAACTTATAATTCAAAATTAATAACATAATGTAAAGGGTGTTCCTAAAAATAGAGCTATCTTTTCAATAAAATATAAAGTATTGTATTTAGAAACATCTTAATACTTAGAGTCGTTGTTACAAAATTAACAATTATCTACAGAAAAAAAAGTTTTTAGTGTTTCCTGAAAACCTGGCAATTATATGATACGAGGTTTTGACTCTACGATGACGATGTAGAAAATAGTATCAATAATCATTTTTAAAAGTAAATAAAATCTGGAGACATCGCTGAAATTTGTTTTTAATTTACCTTATGATGTTTCGCAAATTTTTAACTCCAAAGTTGCTGGACTTACCATATTACAAATTTACGTTTATAATTAAAATAATCACCCTAAAATGATTTGACGCGTTGTAGGCTTAAGCCGTATAACCTAGCCGGAAGTCCAGCAATCAAAGCTACAGGAGGTAAAATAAAAATAAAGGCTCAATATTACTTTCTAATACAATAAAATGATTATTATTATTATTATTATTATTATGATCAGACTTTTTAGAAAACAAGCCTTTTTAGAATAAAATAGGTACCTAACAAGAAACCAATATCAATTATTTTTTTAATATTTTTTTTCTAGTGCTTTACGCACGCTACCAAGTAAGTACGTAGTTTCAATTTTTCTTACTAGTGCGGAAAGTAAAACTCTACGAATTAGTGTCAAAAATTTTACATAACAATAAAATGAAACGTTTCATTTTAAATTACCAATAATGTTATTTTTTCTAAGACAAGTAAATTATGTTTGACTATATTTATTATTCAACGAATTATATTATCAAAAAGAAATAATTTTTTAGAAGATGTTCCACCAACACTACCTAATGTTGTCTTTATTCGTTTTTCAAAGTAGAATTTTTTGATGTTCGTACATTAAACAAGAAGGATCATTTGATTGGTTTTCTTTATTAAATTTAGAAAAATGTTTATTTCTACATCTTGAAGAATATCTACAGTAGCAGTTTTGATTAGAATCTTCACGAGATATGTGACAAAATCCTTTATTTTCTAATACTATAATCTTGTTTTCTAGTTCATTTTATTTTTTATTTAAATCACCCATCATTAGTTTAAATTCTGATTTAAATCATTTATTGTTTTGGAAAAATTTAGAATTTCCATATTTTTATCAATAGTATAAGTTTCGTCTTTGTTACCTGTGAAATTAGAAAAATTAGAGAAAGGGGACTATTCCCACATTTTATCGGCTATATCTAACAAATCTTTAGTAGAAGATTTCCCAGATACAGTCAAAGAAATATCTATATATTTTGGGAGTCTTCTCCATATTTTTAATAATATGATTGCATTATAGAGTCACCTAAAAATCTAATTATACTTCTGTCCGGTCCACTAGAATATATATTGTAGATAATAATGTGATGTTTGTTTATTTTAATCAACAGTTTATTTATCAATAATTTATTTAAACACTTATTTATTTTATAACACTACTATTCTAATTTATATATATTTCGAATGTCTTTAAACTGTTCGCTATTTATCTTCACTGTCCATATAATAACTGATACAGCGTTATTCTCCACCAATATTTATATACCAATTTAAAATTATGGTGAAGGTTCCAGAACGTTCTCGCCAAAAATTAGAAACACTATCACGTTATATTTGGAATAGACTAGAAATAGTATCCCGTTGACTCTGGAATGTTCGCGAAGGTACCTCCGCCATAGTCGTCACATAGGTTTGGTCTTAAGGGGTTCAAAGGCCAAATAAGATAGAGAGGGACTTGGAGGGTTAGAGCATGACTGAATAATGAAATGGCTCACATGGTAATAAGAAATACGAATATCAGAAATATTACTCAATTAATTTTATAGATATTTTTAAATAATTTGATTATGACTTACCAAAACTGAATTTCTTTTTGTTATTATCAGTAATTGCGTTTTAAAATTTCTATATTACTATTGATGTTGTTGATGAATTGTTTAATTTTCGGAGAATTACATAAATTTTGTAAGAATTGACGTTACTTTTTTATCGAGAGGCATGACATTATGTTGATTCAATTAAAGATGGCTGAAAAGAAGCGTAAATTTACTAAAATTTGGATTACGGTCCATATTACTCAAAAACTGTCATTGCATGCCATTGTGTAATACACCGCTATATGCAGGATGAAAAGTTATTTCAAATAAAATATCAAGGTCCATATTTAAAAAAAATAAGTTGAGGGTGGTCCGGAGAATGTGAAACGTTGGATGTAAAATATGAAAACGTAAAATCAAAGAAAATTTACTATCAAATAAGAAATTTTTAAAATATTTTTTGGTAGTTCTGAAAATAAATGAAATATCTCAAGAACCGGGCCTGCTATTTTTGATTAATTTCCACCGCTAGATTATGCTTCGAGAGAGACAGCTTTTTCTCCATTTAAATGACTTTCTAACTAGTATGGTTTGGAAATTACTAATACAATCCCATTTAAAAAATGGTATATTAAGAATTTTTAACACAAATACCAAAGTATATAAATTAGTGTTCTTTATTTTCAAAAACCATAAACTATAAATTTTAATTCCTAACTTTGAGAAAATAATAAATTAAAATCAAGACTTCCCCGCTCTTATTTGAAAACGTTTAGGGTCCTCAAGTTTTTATGTATTTTTCCGGTACAATTCAAGAAGTTGACGATTCTTTTAAAAGAGGAAAAACGCAAGCGAACGCATTGAATTATTTAAGTTGTTTGTGTAGAAAGTTGGAGCGAAAGGAAGTTTAGAAGCTCTAATAAGTCTCTAAACGACCACACCGTCCTCCAATACTTTACCAACTTGTCGAACTTCACCCCGACCAAATTAAAAGCGTCACATTTTTCAGACTTATGAAACAAATTAGTTTGGTAATTAGCTAGTGTCAGATGTTTTTGTCTTTAGCTAAAAATTGATTACACATACTGAATATAATAATTTACATGGATAATACCGACCGGTTAACCGTTGGGTAAAATTTACACTACACTGAGAAAAAAATTGTTTTATAGTTATTCTTTACTAAATAAGGGAAATTCTATGATATTTTGCGTTACATCTGAATCCTCAAAAATATTATTGCGTAAGCTTATATAGTATTTTAGGATAATAAAATCTGTAATATGTACCCACTCATATATTTTGTTTTTTTCGGAAAAATAACAAAAAGTGACATGGAAATGTTTAACTTACTTTCATGGTACTGTTATAGAGTAAAAATAAACAAAAAATATTTAAAAATCACAGTTTCTTTTCTAAATGCATATTGATTAAACGCAGTTCACATAAAAAAAAATATTTTAAACCATAGAACTTTATTTTTTGTTAGTTTGCATTGCACCTAGTTAGGTGGGCCAACCAACAATTTGTCTTTATTATAAACTTAAGTAAAGTTAAGAGGCTTAAAACAAAGAGTTCACCCAATGGTATCTTCTCCTTTCTATTCTGATAACTATACACTGCACACGCGCACTGTGCTCTGCTTTAACATACTTTCACATCACTATTTGAATTGGTTTGGTCCTTCTGAGCTTTCTCATTTGGTATCGGTTGTCCAGGAATTCGACTACAGGCATTCTAAGATCTCTGTGTAGGTCTAAGATTCTAACATACCAAGGGGCGTTTACTATTGCCCTTAATATTTTATTCTGGAAAGGTTGTATTATATTTATGTTAGTTTTACTAGCAGATTTGTACCGTAAGTGGAGTGAGATTGATCAATTTAAACATTTCGGTGAGCTTAACTTTTTTACTTTTGAATCCAAACCAGTAAAATATTGTAGATTTGGGGGAGTGATTTATATCTACCAGAACATGTAAAGTTTGAAATAAAATAATTTAAATCATTAGCAGAATAAAATAAAATGTAAGTGATCAATCTCATATCTTCTTTGGGGCGAGATTGATTACCTCCTTCTTTTAGCATTAAGCAGTAGTATACTAATATACAAATGGTCAATCGCAAACCCGGCCAATTTTGTTAAGTATTTTTTTTTAAATTATGAATATTGTTAGAGGGATGAGATTGTTCTACCGGATGAGACTGATCATTATAAAATTCATAAAATAACACTAGGTTTATTTATAGTAACGGTATACATAGATAAAAAACTTAAACGGTTTATTTAAAAAAATATGAATGTACCTAACTCTAACATTCCTTAATATTTATATCACTTATAAAATGATATTTTATAATCCGGTCGGATATTTTCTAGCCCTTAGAGTCAGTCTGGTAACAATGGTATAACATGTTTTAGTTTCACCACTGAAACATCGTTTTTTACAAGATTAAACATTCTTCTTGACTCAGTCGATTTTAGGCCAATTACTTCAAACTTGAAATCTTTTAAAACATTTTTGATGAGGCAAATGAAGCGATATTCTGTTTTTTTGAACCCCTAAAGAACTTAACCAATATAAATTTATCAATAACAACGTTATCCGGGGTTGGTTTTGCATTTTGTAGAGGTTCGTCTTCATCTCAGCTTAAATTATCAGGGTCATCATCGTCATTTAATTTTCATCGCCGAAGAGTCTTGATTTTTGGGAGCTGTCACACATTTTCCGGGTTCCCTCTAGGCATTTTTTTTATTGATCTTTGATTTCTCAAAAATTCTGTGAGATTTTATCTGTGATCTTAGTTTCGATATTTGCAGCAGTATTAAGATCATCGGGAAGTTTTCGTAAAAATCAATCAGTATTAAAATGTACCAAACCACAAGATTCGAACCCAGAAAGTAAGTTTCATTTGACGGTGCTCTATTCTTTG